TGTGTGGAGACTGCTTGATATTTCACAAAAAACAACAAATGTCAAAGGATCATTCCATTCTTAGGGTGGAGGAATTAGACTATAACCCAGACAATCTGATGAGACTTGCAGAAGAGATTACATGTTCAGAATATCAGGGAGAAGAAATAAAATATTATTGCAAAGATCACGAGCACCCTAGTTGTGACAGATGCTTCTTTGAGGACCAAAAAATGTGTTCCAAAGTAGCAGACTTAAAAAAAGAACTAACTTCTCTACTATTTGACGGCAAACCAGATGAAATAATTACGGCTATGAAGAAAATAGAGATCCATTTAAATACATTAGTGGAGATGAATGAGGCCGTTCTTAACAATCTTGATCTTCAAGTTAGTAGATTGACAGAAAAGATTGGAGAAATAAGAAATAAAATAAATGCAGCTCTTGATGAGTTAGAGAAAAATGAGACAACAGAGGGAAACCGAATTTACAAAGAAGAAGTTATTAGGATACATGATGAAAATCATCAGAGTTTGTCATGCTGTGAGAAATTCCCACTATCTCCTTGAAGCAGTAGATAAATATGGGAGCAATTTACAAAAATTCTAATAGCAGAACAGATGAGGTCGCAGTTACATTCATATTGCAATCTGTTTGGAGAAAAATACGAACAAAATGACACTATTTCAGTAGATATGGAACTCTCCCCTAAGATGCAATCCATTTTGTCCATTTCTTTGTCAGAATTGGGGAAAGTTTGTCTACAGCCATCTCTAACATTCGGACACTAACATGTTCACAGAGACCACCTAAAGATTATCCGATCGAGAGTGTTAATTTAATTGATCTTAAAGGTACAAATGTCCATAGTATCATAGTACCATAGTCCATAGTACACTAGTATCACATTTCTCCCAGGAGACAAATTGATGCTTGCTGATTCTAAAAATAATAACCTATGCATCTTACTAGGCTCTTCCTCTCAGTTCATCACAAGTCATACACTAACGGGTGTTCCATGGAAAGTCTGTGTACTGGATGATGAGGAGGTGGCAGTATCGTTGTATAATTTGAGTACTATCCAGATCCTGTCAGTGATTGGTGACGTCATCAGGCCAGTTAGAATTATAATGACAAAATCCATTAGTAATGGCATAGCAGCTGCAGGAGAGGGGAATATGGTTGTGAATGGTTACTATGGTAATAACAAGAGTTAGTGGAGTCTGATTAACGCAAGAGAAGGTGTAAAGTGTAGTCATCGGTATGACTCTTCATACTCTGTTTTGAACAACACAGCTGTGAATAACATTAGAACACGATTTTATGTTAGTGTGTATAGTAATGATTTACTTTTCTGCTTTGACACGGATGGCATGACAGTTAGGCACCCTATTGCAGTAACTGTGGACTGATTTAACAATATCTATGTTCTTGGATCGTTATCTAGAAATATACATCAGCTGTCTCCGGATGGGTCTGTCATACAGGTTGTAAATACAGGAGTGCCAACACATGCAAGGGTGATTTGCATTCACAAGAGGAAAGATGTCTTAATCATCACGAACAAATCAGATGGAAAAAAACTGCACGTTTATCAACTGAGATACAATTAAGCAGAGGTTCTACATTTTACATTACAATGAAGTGATCTGAATAGAGGAAGTGCATAAAGAAGTTATTTCGTAATGTGCAAAGCAATAACAAACCAATAAAAGTGAATTAAAGATTCTTTGAACAATGCCTAAGATATACAAGGTCCTTTCTAAATAACCAGTATTATGAGTGAGGAAACTCGGAGAAATATTTTTAATTTTTTTTAACCCTATGCAAAAATATGAAACTAATTATCTACATGTACATATGATTTAAAATGTATACAGAAAACGTTTAATTAAATTCCATGTGTACAAAAAAATTGCATGCAAACTAGTTAAAAGGGAGCTGTATAAGATTGGATATGAAATCTCTTAACAATACAGACATACTACATACTATAATGACTATACAGACATACTGCCTACATACTATAATGACTATACAGACATACTGCCTACATACTATAATGACTATACAGACATACTGCCTACATACTGTAATGACTATACAGACATACTGCCTACATACTATAATGACTATACAGACATACTGCCTACATACTATAATGACTATACAGACATACTGCCTACATACTATAATGACTATACAGACATACTGCCTACTATAATGACTATACAGACATACTACATACTATAATGACTATACAGACATACTGCCTACATACTATAATGACTATACAGACATACTGCCTACTATAATGACTATACAGACATACTGCATACTATAATGACTATACAGACATACTGCCTACATACTATAATGACTATACAGACATACTGCATACTATAATGACTAATCTTGTAAAGTTATTACAGTAGTATGTGTGGATGTTTGAGTGTGTGTATGTATGCATCAGCATGTGTCTTAGTACAATCATGCGTTGTATTAGATTTTTTACAAACATAGAACTAGATTATATATGTATTCAAAGAAACATGTATGCCGAATTTTCTTTGCTGTCTGTGATTTGTGTTAAATTGTGCAAACAGTTTTGTTGCATACAAAGTCAAAAATGGGAATGAAATGTGTATGGAATTAAAACTCAGAACGTCTGAAAACTCAAATACCTAAGTCCAATTAAATTCAAAAGCTTACAACAAAGAAGATTGAAAAATTGCTTTAATTATTTGAAAATGCAATTAGGTCATTAACATGAGTACCAATATGCTCACCAAATTGAATGCTTCTGACTGAACTGGTTGATGTTTAATTATGCTAACAATTTTTTTTTAAAACTAATTCAAAGCCCCAAAATGTCAAACAAAACTTGGAAATTGTACTGAGATTACATTCTTTATGTTGACCTGCATTCAAATACATGATTTACTGCTGACTGATAGAATATGTCATTGATAGACCTTATCCTAACAATCAGCCTAATCTGTTGATGCTGAGAAGTGTTTCTCAGAGATACAAATGATGAGTAGTGAATTAAGATGATATTTGCAACCAACTTTTTATAATGTTCCATACAAATGATATTACAACAAAGTCCATGTGTGGTATTTGATAACAATGATTTTGTGGTAAAATCGAATTTTAGTAAAACAGTTAAACAAAATGTTTACATAAAAAAATCTTTCTGTAAAGGCTTGAAAGTCTAATCAGGTCACACACTCCTGAAATGCATTTGGGAGACATAATGGACTTTCCAAAATATGGATATATGGTAAGAGAGCAGTAAAGTGATATGTCTCCTTCTACAATCGAATTATGGGTTTATAAGTATTAAATGTATGCACTGCAGGGCTCTAGTTTAACAAAATTTGTAGCCAGAAGGACTAGTATGCTGAGAAATTTACTATTCCTGCTAAATATTTACCTGTCACACTTGTATTGAGATTAACTACAATATTATTAATAAATAGCATTATCATATGAAATGCAGAAGTACAAAATTATAAATCAAATCATCAGTCAGTCAATTCACATTTCTTGTTTCTCAAGTATATCTGGATCCAATTCCAGAAAAGGATCCAGTTGTCCTTTCTCATCCTCCACCTGAACTCTGGGTCCATATGGGGTTTGCTCAGGTCTCCTTACCTATCTCCCTGAAACATTCCACAAATGTACTGCTGGTGTTGGATCATTTTTTTTTTTTGAATATCATTTGTATGGAACATTATAAAGAGTAGGTCCGACAGAACCAAAGGTCGCAAACATGATCTCCATTCACTCCTCACCATTTGTATCTCTAAGAAACCATTCTCAGCATCAGCAGAGTAGGCTGGAATTGTCAGGATAAGGTCAATCAATGCCATAATATTCTTTCAATCAGCAGCACATCATTATACAACTGTGGACCAAGTCAAGAATAGATGTCTTTGCAAGATAACAGAATACATTAAGAAAATTATAATCTGAATGAATGTACATCAAGGAAAATGTAATGTCAATACTTAAGTAATGTTAATATTTTTTAAAGGCTTTTCTTACATAGTTACCATTTAAAATTTAGATACTATGCTAAATAAAGAATTTTAACAAATCTGGTGTCAATGATGTTTCCTGTATTTTGTTTTATATATATTTGGATATACATGTACACCTACTTGCAGTCTCATTCCTATTCCACTCCATCAGCATCCACTCATGTACTGACAAGAAATGACTCGATATGCTCCACCAAAACAGGTTTCTGCCTTTCACTTGTGATGTAGTGAGGAAATGTAAAAACCTGTTTATCAATCATGTGTCTCCAACATCAACTCTGTCCATCTCATCCAGCTAACACATGCAAAATCATTGAAGGGTCTTCGGTTCTTTACAATAGCCACCTTCACCGGTTGCCACCGGAGAGCAACATTGTCCAGGTAGGCGAAATTCTCACGTTTCGGAACCTGTAACTTCAGCTTGGTGCAACACAAGAAAGTCAATTATAGCTTGATGAATAGTGAAATATCTCATAATTTATAAGTCAGTGATATTTATGGACAAATAAAAATTCTCACTGTCAATCTAAAAAAATATTCAATGGTGCTTAAAATTTGCAAGAAGTTTAAATCTGGTGATGAAACTTTTAAAGTCTTGCTTAGATGTCTGGAATATTTTGTCATAATTGACCAATAACCTTGTAGATATGCAAAGTTTAACATTAGGGCCATGAATTGTTAATTCAAAAAAAAACACAATTTAGAGAAAGACATGCACTCTCTTTAAGTACTTTCAGTTCTGATGTCTAGTGTTTAGTATTACATTTGTCTAAAGACACAAACATAATGTACAAAATGTATATCAATTGTGAATGGAAGAAGTGAAATCAATTTATAATACAATAAAATTAGGTAAAGTTTAAAAGTTTTAGTAAATCTCTGCATGCATAAATACTGCTTATTATTATCATTATTAATTATTGTTATTTATTATTATTATTATTATCCTGCTGTTTCTTATTACTATGAACTGCTCAGGTGGCCTAGTAGTTAGGGCGTCTGCCTTGAATGTTGGAGGTCGGGGGTTCAATCCCCGTCTGAGTTATAACAAAGACATACAAAAATGATACTAGCAGCTGCCTCACTTGGTGCTAATTATTATTGATTATTGCTGTGTTCATTATTGTCTAACTTTACTGAATAAAACAGAAAATTAAAGGATACATTTTTTTTGTATATCATGTCGGTTACTATACAAATTTGCAATGTTTAATTAGACTTAAAACCCCACATTTGTTAAAGAAAAAAATGATATTCGACAATCCCCGTAAATAATCTGTAGTTTCCGGGTGCCCAAAATGGTTATAATGTACATTTATCCCTTCTATTCAACCTAACCAACCATTCAGGTGTTTACTTTCCCCACGTAAATGGCTGTTATATATCTTATGATTGTGCTTTTGTACAACAAATATGGTGCACTGTGTTGCATATGGATGTAACCAAAAGAGTGATAATTGGAAAAAGGGTTCTTTCTTTTTCGAAAGGCCCTGTTTACCGGGAAAATAGAGGATTCAAGCTGTGGGATCAAACTGGGTGGGAAAGTTGTATCATTTATGCCGGATTATAGTCCATTTGGCAGAAAGATTATTCAGCCCAACTCAATGACAAATCGGCACTGCTTATATATGTAGATCACCATATCACCATTTCACAACTTATATATGTAGATCACCATATCACAACTTATATATGTAGATCACCTTATCACTATATCACAACTTATATATGTAGATCATCATATCTCTATATCATAACTTATATACGTAGATCACCATATCACAACTTTATGTAGATCACCATCAACATTATTTTATATACATCAACAACATATTAAATACCCAGATCACCAAAACAACACATTGTATAATTATATCACCATAAACAACACATACATAGATCACCATAAACAACACATATACTTAGATCACCATAAACAACACATTATATACTTAGATCACTATAAACAACATATACTTAGATGACCAAAAACAACACAGTATATACTTATATCACCATAAACAACACATTATATTCATAGATCACCATAAACAACACATATACTTAGATCACCATAAACAAATTATACACTTGCCTCTATATCATTCAATAAAATTTCCATTTAGAAATAATTTTTCCTAATAGTGACTTTTATCTTTGAACTTTTGACCCCAAGAATCATCAGGTTTTATTGTTACACTAGGTGTAAGCCTTTAACAAATATAAATACATAAAACTATTGGTTTTCATGCTGTGACCTTGAGCTTTGACCATTTTACTAAAAAATCAATGTCAATTTTTCTTACACCAAATGCAAGCCAACCAAAATTTCCAATCCTGTAGAGAACTCTGTAAAATTAAGCTAGACAAACATTAATATAAGGAATTACAAACATAAATACAACTAGAGAAATATATATCAGGAACTGGGAAACAAATTAAAGGAAAATAAGTACTACAGGATACAAAGCAAACATTTTAAAATTATGTGAAACAAATATTTATATAAAATCAAACATTAGGTGAGACAAGAGATCAAAGTGGGTCTGATATATTTCACATTCTTAGCTGATGTATAATTTTGCAATTGCAAATTTAGACCACCTGGTGGCCTAGTGCCTAGTGGTCAGAGTGTCTGCCTCAGATGTGAGTGGTCATGGGTTTAAACCCTGATCAAATCATACTAAAGACTTATAAAAATGGTGACAGCTGCCTCACTTGATGATCAGCATTTAGAGGTTAGTGTTAAGGCAGGTTGGCCTGTTGTTATGATAATGTGACTGGGTGGGACATCATGCTACATGTCTATGGCATGAGGATCTAGTGCCAGACATCACTATATATTGCCACACTGCAGATGTCATAGTGACATGAATGAAAATACTATTTCAAATGTTATCCCCAGCTCATCTAATAGCATGTAGAATGACCACCTTAATATGCATGAATGTAAGTCATAGTCAAACTCACCAATGTTTTGCTGATGTAAATGATGTCTTACCAGAAATGATATCTCTAGTGCTTATTACCAAGTGTAAAGGAAGGGATGAAAATAACACAATGACGCAAAAGAAGACCTCACAGAATAAACTCACTTTGACCTTTGACTAGTTGAGCTAAAAATACAACCTCCTCAAAACATGCAATCAAAATATATATAAATTGTATTCACTCATAAAACCTGAAATAAAAATCCTCAACAGTGTTGCCATACAGTAAAAATGACTGCTTTGTTTTGCTATTCCTTTTGTTTGGGCTTAACAGGAAGAAATGTCTAATCTCAGAACATGGATTTCCTATAATGGTGCTAGAAAATATACCTATAGCATCAGCCCTGTTCATCCTTCCATGTATCTACAGAGGACTAATATTATAATAACAGGGGCATGTAGCATCACCCCTGTTTATCAATCCATGTATCATACAAAGATAAGGATTTTATGCCCTAACAATAATACAAACAGGTTTTGTCCATTCATCTATCACACCTTTTTATGTCCCAGTTAACAATAATAAAAGCATATATTATTATCCTTGTTTGTCAATCTATCTATCACACCTTGGTTTGGTTCCTGTGCCCAACTACAACACTAATAAGAGCATGTAGTGTTACCCTTTTCCATCTGTCATGTCCTATCTTGGTTAGATTTTGCATCTATTACATGCCCCTGTTATTATAATGTGTGTCTTCTGTAGAAACATGGATGGATGAACAAGGCTGATGCTACATGCCCCTGTTATTATAATATTAGTCCTCTATATGAAAAAGGCTGATGCTACATGCCCCTGTTATTATAATGTTAGTCCTCTGTAGATACATGGAAGGATGAACAGGGCAGATGCTACATGCCCCTGTTATTATAATGTTAGTCCTCTGTAGATACATGGATGGATGAACAAGGCTGATGCTACATGCCCCTGTTATTATAATATTAGTCCTCTGTATGAAAAAGGCTGATGCTACATGCCCCTGTTATTATAATGTTAGTCCTCTGTAGATACATGGAAGGATGAACAGGGCAGATGCTACATGCCCCTGTTATTATAATGTTAGCCCTCTGTATATACATGGATGGATGAACAAGGCTGATGCTACATGCCCCTGTTATTATAATGTTAGTCCTCTGTAGATACATGGAAGGATGAACAGGGCAGATGCTACATGCCCCTGTTATTATAATGTTAGTCCTCTGTAGATACATGGATGGATGAACAAGGCTGATGCTACATGCCCCTGTTATTATAATGTTAGTCCTCTGTATGAACAAGGCTGATGCTACATGCCCCTGTTATTATAATGTTAGTCCTCTGTAGATACATGGATGGATGAACAGGGCAGATGATTCATGCCCCTGTTATTATAATGTTAGTCCTCTGTATATACATGGATGGATGAACAAGGCTGATGCTACATGCCCCTGTTATTATAATATTAGTCCTCTGTATGAAAAAGGCTGATGCTACATCCCCCTGTTATTATAATGTTAGTCCTCTGTAGATACATGGATGGATGAACAGGGGTGATGCTACATGCCCCTGTTATTATAATGTTAGTCCTCTGTAGATACATGGATGGATGAACAAGGCTGATGCTACATGCCCCTGTTATTATAATGTTAGTCCTCTGTAGATACATGGATGGATGAACAGGGCAGATGATTCATGCCCCTGTTATTATAATGTTAGTCTTCTGTAGATACATGGATGGATGAACAGGGCAGATGATACATGCCCCAGTTATTATAATGTTAGTCCTCTGTATATACATGGATGGATGAACAAGGCTGATGCTACATGCCCCTGTTTTTATAATGTTAGTCCTCTGTATGAACAGGGCAGATGCTACATGCCCCTGTTCCTATAATGTTAGTCCTCTGTATATACATGGATGGATGAACAGGGCAGATGATTCATGCCCCTGTTATTATAATGTTAGTCTTCTGTATATACATGGATGGATGAACAGGGCAGATGATACATGCCCCTGTTATTATAATATTAGTCCTCTGTATATACATGGATGGATGAACAGGGCAGATGCTACATGCCCCTGTTATTATAATATTAGTCCTCTGTATGAAAAAGGCTGATGCTATATGCCCCTGTTAATAATATTAGTCCTCTGTAGATAGTAGATTATCAACCAATAATATGGCTGTTTACATAATGTTTCATATTCTAATTGAAACCAGCAATATCTGGTCCACCATCTTAATTGCCAGATTTTGATGTAGTTGCATTTGATATAATCATCAGATATGGTCTTAATTAATGCCAATGCAAGTATGAAAAGAAAAGAATTAAATTTCATATTAAATTTAATCACTTATAATGTTATACATGCATTCAGATGTACCAAATTTCAACACATGTGCCAATATTAAACATGCAAATCAGAGCCTATGATCTTTGTCATGCTTTTGATTTTTGGCTGATACTATAGACCCAGATCCAACCTTATAATATATATCATTACCAACATAGACCAGATTTAACATCATAATAAACATGTTTACCTACATAGACCCAGAAATAACTATACAATGTACACATATTCTTGCATTGTTCATATCTAACACTATAATGTACATCAACACTGTCATAGACCAAGATTTAACATCATAATAAAAATGTTTACCTACATAGACCCAGAAATAACTGTACAATGTACACATATTCTTGCATTGACCAGATCTAACACTATAATGTACATCAAAACTATCATAGACCAAGATTTAACATCATAATGTACATGTTTACCTGTATAGACCCAGAAATAACTGTACAATGTACACATTCTTGCATTGACCAGATCTAACACTATAATGTACATCAAGACTGTCAAAGACCAAGATTTAACATCATAATGTACATGTTTACCTGTATAGACCCAGAAATAACTTTACAATGTACACATATTCTGGCACTGACCAGATCTAACACTATAATGTACATCATTACTGTCATAGACCAAAATTAAACTTTATAAAGGACATCATTTCCTTCATAGATGCTAATCTAAGTTTATAATGTACTGGCATAGA